ACATCCCTTGTAAGTTGGATTCCTAGGTATTTTATTCTCTTTGAAGCAATTGAGAATGGGAGTTCACTCATGATTTGGTTCTCTGTTTGTCTGTTATTGGTGTAGAGGACTGCTTGTGATTTTTACACATTGATTTTGTATCCTGAGACTTTGCTGAAGTTGCTTATCAGCTTAAGGAGATTTGGGGCTGAGACGATGGGGTTTTCTAAATATACGATCATGTCATCTGCAAACAGGACAATTTGACTTCCTCTTCTCCTAATTGAATACACTTTATTTCTTTCTCCTGCCTGATTGCCCTGGCCAGAACTTCCAACACTATGTTGAATAGGAGTGGTGAGAGAGGGCATCACTGTCTTGTGCCAGTTTTCAAAGGGAATGCTTCCAGTTTTTGCCCGCCTGTGTTAGCACTGTGGGCTCTCCAGCTCCTGGGCCTCGGTCCAGTACAACCGCACTTCCATCCCAGCGCCAGAAACTATTGCGCCGGCCACCTCAACCCTTACGGCTTGTGGCGCTGCCGTCTCACACTGGCCCAAACCTCCACAAGGCATTCTTTCTTCAAACTCCTTATAACAAACATTACTCTTTATTATCAAGAATCACCCATGTTCTCGCCTGAGGTTGCCAATTTCTGTGTGAAACCAGAACCTGGCAATGACCTTGACCAATAAGAAAAGAAATAGCCTCCCACATGCCTTAGGTTCCCATAATGGAATGCTAGCATTAACATGAACCTTTTCCCCATACAAGACCTGATAAGATGTTCCAGGTAACCTTCCGCCCCACCACCTTTTGATTATTGGGTTCCACTTTCCTTACAGGTTGGCCAGAGTGGAAGCCCTCATACTTTGGCCATTGCCCCCACCCGGACCTGCATGGTCTTCCTGCTTTGCGCATCCCCCCTCAAAGCCTCCAGGGCCGAAAATTTCCCCACCCTGCCGCAAGCTCCTGTACTGCGCAGCATACGACCCTCCGCCCTGCTCTGACTTCAACTTCAATCTTCCATATATGATCTGGAGAACAGCCTCTGTAGTGACTCTCTGTAATGAAATAGCCAAGGTGTTTTGACGGCCAGCATGGGGTGGTCCCTGTCTTGATTAATATTCCACGTACGCCTGACGAAGAACGTGATCTGCTGGTGTTGAAGACTTATTAAAAGCCATATGTCATTAGGCTAGAGAGCTGATAGTGTGCTTGGTCTTATATTCCCTTTAACTGATGCACTGGCAGGGAACCACCAATACAGAGGCCCCTGGTGTCCAGGAAAGATGCGATGGAGGTCCATACCGGTATTGTTGAAAAGAGAAAGGGGAGGATGCAACGAGGCATTTTAAATAGCAATGTTCGGTTGAGTGAAATCTTGACGAGAAGGGGAAACGGAGAATCGACCAAGAATGAGTTCCAAAGCTCCCGCTTGGCAATTCAGGTGAGATAGTGCAGGCAATGGAGATAACATCTCCAGACGTTGAAAAGGAGCAAAGAAAATAAGGCGTGTTTCGGGCAGGGTGCCAATACAGACACCTAGACATGGAGAAGTCAGCTAGCCAATTCGAATATAGTCAGATGCCGATAGCAGCCGTCCCCTGTTTAATTAAATTAGCCGATGCCGTGTATGATCATCTCTGTATCCATCGGGGGGTGTTCCAGGACCTTCTGCAAGACCAGAATCCTTAAATGCTCAAAGTCCCTGATATAACATGGTGTAATATTTATTAGCCTACACATACCCACCTTATACCTTAAAAAACTCTAGAAGATAAGCACCCTAATGCAATGTAAATGCTATATATTATAATCGCCTATTAACTTGTTGTTTACGTAATAATAGTAAGAAAAAAGTCCTGTACATGTTCAGTACAGATGCAGGCCCTTCATTACAAAACATCGTATAGCTGCTCTGATCTGTGTGGTGAACTCACCCAGATGCCAAACAGCACAGAAACTACGAGGGCTGACCGTGTATATTTCATACTTACTGACAAAACTCATAGCCTCAAAAGCGAGACAAACTGAAAACATACAACATATTCATTACTCCTCCTTTAGGAGAAGTTTAAGGTTGAAATAACATTATTAAGGTTACGTGGCTGTCATGAGCAAAACGCATCTTTTCCAACCAATGTTCACTGTCCTAGAACAGAACTCCAGAGCTCGAACAATGATCTTCCTAAACTTAGATCAAGCTTATCTGGTAGATGGTTTGGGTCATTATAGACTTACACATCATTTGATAAATATCAACATGTACTTTAAAACTTAATGTGCTTATGGATTTAGTACGTTAAGCCAAAGTTAGATTTTCAGCTGCTTTTTATAGGTTAGTTTTACAGGCTGCCATAAAAACCATGCTGACTTGGCAATCCACTCTGGAAAATTGCCAAGTTTGTGGTTCATAATTCTGAATCTGCACTAGATCTAACACCATGTAGTGAAAGCTCCTTAGCCAAGCGAAGCAGTAATATTATTAAAAAAATCCCTATTTACCATAGTTTTGTATTAAACTAATCCATACATATGCCATACATTTGTGGACTGATTCTCAAACACATGAATCATATTTATTTATTTGATTACTTGCTCCTACAAGGATCCCGGAAAAAAAGTACAGAGTTTCCAATAATTGTTTGTTGGCACCATTTTCACGCTACCTGGTGCCACTATTTTTTCCGCAACCTACAGCCCTTACACTAGATGCTACCTTACCCAGCTAACCATCCACGCCGTATCATCCCACGTAGAACCAAGATCACCTTTGCCCTCTCCTGGTTGTCATAATTTATTAGGTAAACGGCTAATTTTAGGGATTTCAGGTTATCACATTAGTGTAAACATGAATTGGACCAATCTCCTAAAGGTGTGTGTGCACGCAATCCAACATGTACACCCCTTAACCCAGAAATGTCTTCTAGAGAACCTGAGCCCTGCTTCATGTTGACTTCTGCAAAATGGGCAGAAAAGGAGGACAAAGACAGCACATGGACAATCTAAGCGCAGCGTGACAAGGGAACGAAGCACTAGTCCATAGAGTTGACAGTCAAGGTGCTAGTAGGTAGGCGGATTCAGTCCAGTGGATATGAGAAAACCCCATTCTCCACCACCTGCTTCACACCCCACGTATGCTCCCACCCATAGTGGCCGCTGATAGCGACAGGGCACGTGGGACCACCAGACCCTGAACCTCACAATGCTCACGATCATTTACTGAACTAGAAAATAAGGATGGCAGATATCATACCTGAATGGGCCAAAAAAA